AAATTCAATTTTGATGTCTTGATTTTGAAAGGGCTCGGGTATCCATGTAGTTGTTGAGCACGGCGAACAGTATGTACATTGTACAATGAGTAACAAAACAAGTGAAATTGAATTTGGCTGTCTTGACTTTAAAATCCATGGTGTGTACGTATTGGTTTTGGAACAGATGAACACAAACCAAACAAAAATCCTCAACCATCTAACTCCTGCTGCTTACAAAAATGTACCTAAGTACATTGACCATTTCTATCCTCCAAAGTTGTTCTTGTAAGTGTACCTGTACCTATCAAAGGGTTAAAATAATGCCAACCCTCAACCCATCTGGCACAGCCCACCTGCCTGGCCTCCAGACGATTATGGTACATGTGCGTTTCCCATTAAATGCAGTGTTTATTCTACATTCAGTATTCACATTGTATGCACAGTAGGTAAGTTTCCTATCCCTCCTTCATACATGTACATGTACAATCCCCTCCCCCCCCAAAAAAAATGAAAATTGCATACAGGTCTTCAAAACTCATCTCCCCTTTCCATCCTACACGAAAATCCTCCCTGCCCAACCATGCGGTTGCCCTGTCAAAATCCAGACAGGTTTTTGACACTAACAAGAAAACAGCCCCTGATTTACCGCTGGCAAGTGTATTGTTGTGTGTAGCCTAGGCAACCAACTGTTCACCCATACAAATTAGGCAGCTATCATGTCTGGTCCCAGGACAATGTTATTAAGCAATTGATCACATCCTTGAGGAGATCAGTTTCTGCTCCAGTGCACAGCCTACAAGCTTTGAACAATTGACAGATTAAGCCATGTACTGGTATGATCCCTTGGGCCCGCTCTCTACTCCTAGAGCCTATGACATGTGTTATGATAAATACACTATACATGTACATAAATGACAGCACGTGTAACATTATGTTGTTAATGTGGATACCTTGTAGTATGCAATTTTTTTCTGTCTCTCAAAGCACAAAATTCCTGGAATTCATAAAAAAGATATGAGCTCAGAACATAGCAATTAATTGAAACATTTGCCACAGGGTACATGTAGCAGTGAAATGTACTAAAAACTCCTTTTTTGTTAAACAAAGTGTACATTGTTAATTATTTGTATAACGAAAGGCTCTGTTTTTTATAAGGACCGCAGATAATAATGTTAAGACTGAGACTAGGGAGTTAATTTTTTGCTGGCCAGTGGTTACAAATTCTGAAAAATTGTTTTACTGAAAAACAGCCATGGTACAGAAAATATGGCATTTTGATACATCAGTTTTCCTAAAATGTATACATTTATTTCATAGTCTTATGTGCAGCACTAACACTTAAGAATTCTGTGACAATTCTCTGCGACACCAGCCAAAGGAAATGGTATATAAAACTCAATAAATTGTTGAATTCCTAATCTGCTGGATCTCAAAACTAAAACGTTATTCAGAGGGCACGCTTTACAAGATTTCGGACACTTAAAAGTTTTTCACATGCAAAGCCATGCAAAAACCCCTTTAAGATGTTGCCAAGTTTGCATTTACCCTGTCACCATGGTGTAGTGCTAAGCTGCTCACAGGGCTACAGTAAGTAGTATTGATTCAGAGGCCGGACAAGCAAGTCTCACAATTAACTCGAGCAACCTTCCTATTTATCTGAAAGCTTTGCACAGAGAAATAAGGAGGTGAGGAAAAGAATACGGAGCAAACAGATTTCATCCATGTACACAGTTCTGAGGGAGAGAGCCCTCAAACCTACACAAGTTTGCCCTTTGATAGTTTATACATAAATTTGAGTGAGTGGCTTGTTCTCAGAAAGGAAACATAAACACCAAGGATGACTTACTACCCTGAACTAGGAGTTGTTACTGAAACTTTTGCAGTGTACAAAGGGAAAGAAAGGCAGAAAGGCTAGAGGATCTTATAATGTACATGTACTTGTACATGTAATAATCCAACCCAGCAAAAATGTTAACATCTCCATAACTGAATCAAGAATGTTAAGGAGTAGAGTATGGGAAATTTGAAAAGAGGAAATTGCCATATTGCATGTACATGTACACTGTACAGTGAATGTATGGTGTATATGTATACAATTTACAAGTATTTTCCAGGAACCTACCGGTATATGTGCACACATGCTTCAACCGCACAATGACAAGACTATCGACATTTAGCCTTTTAATGCTTCATAGCATTTGCTTAGTAATCCTGCATTACCAGCAGTGCATTTATGCCACTGCAGGTAAAAAAAATTGCCTTTTTTTTTCCTTTTCACATATACCCATCCCTTTATCTTTTTCAGTATCCTAACTGAAGTATCTGCAGAGCTATGATGATGGAAACTTCATCCCTCTAAGCACAGCTTTGAAGTTCCTCATTTCCTGCCACCACCGGTCCTTCAAGACTTGTCTCTTCTTCAACAGGGCTATGTCCATAAAGATTTCTTTCAAGGTTTGGTCAACTACATGTACATACATGTACATCATCAAGCAGCACACTGTAGGAGACAACCTGTGCGAATGCTTCTTAACAGCCGTCCATTCCTTATATAGGCCTACCCCACATTTTGAACAATTTATTTTCTTTTGTTTTATCCCCAGTCATAAATCAAGAGCATCAGGATATTGATGGCTTTCACATCAAAGGTTGCGTCACAGGATGTACCAGTGCAATCCATTTGATAAAATACATGTACATGTACTTGGTGAAAGTTTGGAGTTGTTGGCAACACACTGACATGACTGATGCATACAGTACCACTCCAGCAGTAATGCACGCTCAATTGAATAAACTTCTACATGTATGTACTGATGTTGTTCCAAGGAGGTTAGCTAGTGTAAGCCAGGGCACTGAAATGGTGTGTCATTTATAAAGGAAGTTGCCAGCTTGATTTGACTTTCAGGTTAGGTGCACATAGTAAGTACTGGCTCTTCGCATTCTTGCATCTTGGCAACTCAAGCAATTTCGTTTATAAGACAAAAAACACGGCACTGCATATGATTAATTGAACTTAGTAGTGTTCCACTTTGAAGCAAAGCAAACATTTCGAAAGCTTTACTACAGGCTTACATCTTAACTTCAAGCTTTAAATACATAAATTTACGTGTATGTCACAAAATGAAATCCAGAACGGCAGTCTCATGCTGATAAATGATGCTATATTGCTACTATTGTACATGTAGGCCATGTACAGTGAAACAGCTACATGTAAATTGGCAACATGTTTCATCTGTCCACTCCAAGTGCACAAGCCACTCAAATCTGTTCTTCCATCCCCCCCTCCCCGATGCTGCTCGCAAGGGCCTCATAATCTTTGGAAGTCTTTGTGTAGTCTAAATGAAAATTTCATTTAACTACATGTACCCGTAATATTGCGCTCGCGCAACTCCTGACTTCACACTGAAAGAAGATCAGATCCAAAATCACCGGCACGGTGCTGTGGATGTGCAAAATGGCTCAATGAATTCCATCAAACTGTTGGCTTTTGTCTAGTTATCAGCAATGTGCTCAGAATCGGCTCACAGCGGTTCACTCTGTATTTGATTTATATGGATTAATATTTACAATGTTCATGCACTCATCATGCGTACGTGCTACAGATTATAAAATCTCATCTGAAAAACTTGGAAGTATGCATGTATGTGTACACATTTGTGCACATATTGAAACTGTGCGTGTGTTTGTTAAAAAATACATGTAAGTGTACGTGTACACCAGTGTGTTCACTCTCTAACTTCCAGGTTGAAAGTTCATCCCACTCAAGTGAAAATTCCCCCTTTCCGGTTGAAATTAGGCACACAATGAATTCGGTGAAATTCAATTAACAAATCAAATGGATTGGGCTTACACTAGAGTTTCCACTGGTAGGATTTCAAACTATTTCAATCCAACTTCCGAGCAATTTTCACTCTAATGCATCTGGCCCCTAGTTTCACTCTTTTGAATGGTTCTGCATCTGGCGTATAATGTACCACAATGACTGTGGGAGCTTCTAGAGATGAAGTAAATAAGTGCATTATCCAATTACTGAAAGTAGACTCATCTCCAACCTACATGTAGGTGCAGCTTTTTAATAACGGCTAATGCTGTTAACTGATGCAGTAATGACGTGAACAAGAGATTGGATCTTAATAATATATGCCTTCATTTATTAGTCTGGCATTAATGCTACAGGTAGATCCAGAGGGAAAACAATCAATATACATGTAAACAGACGCTTGTTCACATGTCCAGCAACCATCTGTTTTATAGAAATGATAATTTTTACCTTTTGACTAGTGAGAACTAAGAAGCAAATCTGACTACATGTAATACCAGGAAATGTTGCCTTCATGTTCCAAATCATGAACGTTAGCATACCTGTATGTGCATGTGTGCACATGCAGGCAACTGGATTGTACTCTTTGTACCATAGTCGGGAAAGGAAAGGATACATGTACATGTATTGAGACATGGAGATATTGAAACATACATGTACATGTATCACGTTTAAACTCAGTGATGAAAGAGTTGCAAGTCTTACAATTTTAAACTGTATACGGTTTGCGTATATTGCAGATCTTGAACTCAACACTTACATGTACATCATACTATCCTTGGCATTCTGGCCTACATGTACATGTAGGCCCCTAGCTGTACAACAATTTCTATGTCAAGTTTCTGCAGGTTGAATTTCCTTTCTCAGACCTAATAAGAAAAATTTTACAGAAACGCAATACTGGACAAGAAACAAGTTCAACTGGAGGAAATCTGGAAAACGCATAGTCCTTCTGACCGTGTCTCTGATGTACAGTGTATGTATACATCTACAAGTTGGAAATTTGGAAATGAGGATTGTTTTTCGGAAGACTATTCACATTTTCTCTTTATCAACTGGCACAAGTACATCTTTATCCCGGTCATCCAGCATTACACAAAATAAATACAGTTGCTTGTGTAGAATTCTGTGTTTTATCAGAGTACCACTTCAAAAACTGCTCAGTAATTTCATCAGTTACCAGAGCAACATTACTCACCTGTTTCCACAGAAATACATCGGAGTGATTCTTGGCAACTGCACAAACTGTGTGGATGGCGGCAAACGAGCACCCACTCAGGACGGCTAGTCGCATCCTGATGGGTAAGAGTGTGTACACCATGTAAATGAAGAAAAGTGTCGTCCACACCCCTTTGGAGGCGGACCGTAGGGGCGCGTCCAAAACGTCAATGACGATCACAGCTGCTAACGAAACAATGACGGTGTAACAAATGGCGCTAAGCTGGCACTGAGTAAAAGCACTGCGGTTGCACAGGGCACACATAACCACGAAGAGGACAATTAGCACTCCCAATAACACACCTGTCACGGGTAAAGTTAAGCCCGGGACATAGTAAAAGATGATCATAACAATGAGGATAATCACAATCAGCGCTAAGAGATTGAACAAGGAGCTCTTGTTCAGGCTGAAAAAGTAGCGCTGGTATAGCCTCTCCAGCTGAGGCGACTTGAATTTCTTGGACTGGAACACCTTGGAAATGCCCTTGATGGATTCCACGCAGGAGGAGCCTCGCCGCGTCTCGTCCCGATCTCGCGTCCCCCGGCTGCCGTTCACTTCTTGCAGTTCCACGGAGCGCACTTGCACATCCCCATTCTTCCCCATCTCAGCTGCGATCTTGCCTGGTCGCTTCTTTGCCGAGCTCTTCTCCTCCGGTGACTGCTGCGGCGGCATCGGCGAGCCCGCATCGTTCTCCTTGGCCTCCGTTGCGTCCCAGGCCGACCGCCGACTCTTACTGGACGCCGCACTCCCGGGCCTCGGCTGGTGATGACCTTTTTTAGTCATGCCCCCCGGTGGCATCGTTCTGTTGATCTCGCCCGTCGAAGGCGAGGTAGCCCGCTCCAACTCCCCAGTCTCTGGAGCTACCTCAGTCTTGTGTCTTAATTTATGCCGTTTCCTCTTCCTCTGGTCGTCTGGAGCACTGTCCTCCATGCACAGGGCTTGTTTTTCATCTTCAACCCAGGCAGAGCGTTGCTGGCTGGTCCCACTAGCAGCGGAGCCAGGCGCCGACTGACTCGGCTCATCAGCTGCGTTGCTGTTAGCTGACATTGGGCCAGCCTGGTCACCGCTGCTATGAGGCACTCTGTGAAGAGTGGCTGGTTGCCAACGCACACACAACAGATTCTCATTGACTTGCTAATAACACACGGTGGTCGCACACAAACAGCCTGTAGCAGCAAGAATAGAGCGAGTTGTGTGGGCTGTGAATCAGAGAAATTACCAATCAATGGCATTAACTGTATGGGTTGGCAGTCCAGTGGGGATTAGCTAATATTTCAGAGGATGATCTTTAAATAAAAGTGTCTGACTTGAATAGCTCTTGTTTGTCTTGTTTCTTTTCAATTGATTCTTTGCATCATTTTTTTTCTGTATCTCAAACTAGGAAGCATTTAAGAGTCATATGGGAAAAATATATTTACACATATACATATATACAGAGATATGCCTGAAAGTTTTTGCAAGGTTATAGATATCTTCAGAAAGTGCACACACACAAAAGAAAACAAGTGAAACTTTGCATGGTACTGCACCATAGTGACGTAAACTGGTAAGTTCCCGAACATAATGATCAGCGTAATACGAGGGTCTGGCTTCCAATCACTCAAGTACATGTACATGTAGCAATTTTGAATGAATAGAAGGCACAAAAAGTTTTCATATGAATGTGCACAAAGTGATATGAGTGCAGGGCCTATATGAAGGATGCATTCAAGTGTATATGTACCGGTACTTCACAGAATTCACAGAAGTACATGTAACCTTAATTGCAGTCCACCAAGTTTTACAAAAATTCGACCAAGTTTTAAATCTAGCTACCAGGTTTTTAAAAAAATGGGCGCTAGATTTACATTCTGGAGTATCTCATCATACACAAATTGTCTTGATGGGAAAGAGTGTGCATGAATTGCTTCATTAGGGAAAAAATACCCCCTCCCCTCAGTAAACCTGGACTAATTTTTTTGGGGGGGTTGAGAGGTGTGAATTTGTGTACTTATGGTAATAATAAAACTGATGACACACTCAAGACATAAAAAAATCTGGAGGGCTTGACCAACTACAACCCCACCCCTCCCTGGAAAATTTCCAGGATCTGCCCATGGACCACATGCATGACGTACACAGTCGCTTGGTATACAGCTGGAAATTCCTGTATATTAGACTGCATCCAAAACCAATTATCTAGAGCTAGCTATGTGGATCTATGTTTCTGCCTATTTTGGAAATGGCCTTATGGTAATCACCTAATTGTAAATATCAGTAAATTTTTGATAGTGATGTACAATGTGGCCACCATGACAACTTTATACCATTATGCAAAAACAGCTAAACCATATAGTAAATGTACACTTCCAAAAAACATACCGGTACTTTATACATGTAAATAAAAACTCTCCAGAATATCACACTCCGTGCAACTGCAAGTGCACACACAGCTTGAAACAATTTTACAATCACCACAGAGCTCCATGGTATCATACTCCCTTTATCCCTCCAGAGATGGAGAGTCAGACGGTGAATAAGCGAAGACACCTGCCGCAAGTACGCCTTGGATACAGGTGAGACTAGTAGTAGGCCTAGTGACGCTGGGTCTAGGCTTAATGTACATACTGGGCACAATCAGTCACTAGGCGTTATCGCCCAGTTTTTGCACAGTCAGTCAAGTCACAACTTATTGATAATTCTGCTATCACAGTATCAGCCAATTGCCTTTTTGATTTTTTCTTTGTGATTCACGGTTGTGAAAGATTGTTTCAAAAAAAGGGAAGTTATGTTGGAGACTTCATCCAGGATCGGCCCATCGCACAGAGGGATCACGCGATCATGCAGACACACCAATCAGGTCCAGCACACATTGCAGTACTGCCACTTTATAGCTGTCATGACTGATTGATTGAAAACAATGATTAATATAGGCCTCCAGCATGATACCAGAGTCTATGATTAAATTTCGATGTTTCTGTCATGTCTGCATGGTCTGTTCCTGTCCTTTTTTATGTTTTATGATGTTCATTTGGGAAATATTTTCACATTCTGACTTTTTGTAGCTGTAGACTGACATCCCAAGACGTTTAAACGAGTTTTACGGACATGACGGAAACAAATATAATGATTGTGTACATGTATTTTGCGTACACAACCAGCATTAGCAGTCACAACATTTGTCACGATCCAAGGGCCTACCAAGACAAATTTACTGCGTTCAATTTCAACACGCAGACGATAACATCCGTTGTGTAGAGAACACATAATTAAAGGTATTTTTAAAAGAATTACCTTTCGTGTAACTGTTGTATTCTGACGGAGTGAATCGGCCAGACATGGCTCGTGTGTTGAAGTAAACCGGGCGCTGTATCAAACACATCACACGTTCCCATCGAGGCCATTTTGATTAATGCAATTTTGTGCGTATAGTTCGTACACCTGTACACAGCACACGTTCGTTGTGTGTGCATTCTCAGGCCAACACGCATCGCGCGGCCGGATGTAAATACCTAACTCCCCATAGAAACCAACGCTCCCACATGGAAACCGACGCACGACGATGTCTTTTGTTTCCCGGAGCTCAGGACGTCAGATTTGTGGAGTACCCAAAAATGCTTCTTGGAATTTATGAAAAAAAAAACACAAAGGCAACTGCAAGTCTGTTTCGATGGGGAGAAGGGGGAGGGGCGAGCTAACCCCAATTATGAAGGGATGATCAAACTGCCCTGAGCTGATGGGTGGCTGACTGGTCGATGAAATGTTTGGGTTGTTTCCAGCACGGAAAACTTAAAAAAACAAATTACCCCCGGGGAATGCAGCAACGTTTTGGAAAGGGATTAGCAATCCTCCTCAATCGTTTTTTTTTTAGAGACAGGATGAGAGCCAGATAAAAAAAATGGGCAGTCGTTTCAAGAAAGAAAATCCCTACCAAAGTAAAAACCACAAAAACTCAGGATATGCCTCTAGTAACCCTTAAGCCCCGCCCCTAGCCCTCTCTCTAATTTCCAGAGCGTGAAACTATAAGGACCCATAGGGTGGATCCACAACCAAATCTCCAGGAAGGGGGGGGGCAATTTTTGAACTTTTTATATAGCCTTTCATGACCTCTCTGAGAGGTTGAGGTTCCATTTTGATGCTTTTTCCAAGCTTCTGAAGGAGGGGAAGGAAAAGGCTAAATATTGCACCCTTTTCACATAAACCGTTTGTACCTTTTGCAGAAGGAGGGGGCATAGCTCCCTTTTGCCCCCCCCCCAATCGCTATATGGACTAAACGCTTTACAGTGAATATCACTCTGACTTGGTTCAAATTGGAATGGTTTGAAAAAGAACCTCTTCCACTGAAAACTCCACAAACATGTCGTTCCATTCCATTAGGTTAGAGTGTCACTCGAGTTTGTAGTGTCCCGATAGCTTCAACTGGGAAGAGCGCATTTTCACTCGAGCAGAGTGAATTTTCAAACCTTTGAATTTAGCTATGAATAACTAGAGAAAAGCATATTATGTAGATTCACTCAAGAAATCGTTCAGTGTAGTGGAGGCCATGCATAGTTCGTTTTGAATTAAATGTTCCTTTATCATCCACATTATAGCCAAGAGGGGATGCAAGGGAGCAATTGCCGCCATCAATAAGTTTCATTCGATCTCGTCTTTCGGGTAGCCATTCTTTCAATAAGGCGCTACAAATTCAAATAATCCTTTATTCATTGAAATTCGTTGGAAGCCTTGGGAAGAGGCTGATCAAGAATTCAATTTAATCGAGTAGAAAGCATGTTTCAACATGCTTCTATTAGTATATATAGAATGCTTCTTGGTCCGTATATTGTATTTATTGTATTAAAAAGGATTTTCTATTGAAAAGAAAAAGACTTATGAACACAAAATAATCAAGGAAACAACAACAAGCTTTGTTTTCGCGTTAAATGATTAACGAAGTTGGCTATGTCTTTGGCATATACTTTTGAGTCGTATTCGGACATCTAATGATAGCAGAGTGGATTTCCAGGAAAGGAAAATAGACAAAATGTGAATGAATGCAAGGGAAACAAACTTATGTTTGGATGTTCAAACGATAGGCGTGTTTCTATATATATCTACCTTTATTGACTGTTTATCTGGAATGATATGAATTATAGGTACATCTATACTCTATGGACACAAGCACAAGAAAAACATCCTGCACTGATTTCAATTTAATTCAGTTAGAGAGAGCCTCACACAAGTAACGTTATCATGATAACAAAGGAATTTTTCTTTAATCATGATGGCATGAAGCTGGCACAGTGATATCTTATATCACTAACTTAATCCATCCTTGGTTGAAGACCATAATAGGGAAAATAGATGCTCAACACCTCAAATAAGTCCTGGTATATCACTTCTTAGTAGATATTATTCAAGTTATAAATAGTTTAAACATAACTGAAAACAAAAACATCGAAACGGCTAAAAAGTCCTGTGCACTTCGGTGAATCTTAGTTTGACTGCTCCAATTCGTAAAGTCAGAAGAAACTCAACTTCCGACTGGTGAACGTGGATGTTGATTTTAATGTAAACGAAATGACTAAACGCACGTTAGTTTGTTTGCACAGTACCAAGACGAAAATTAATGCTGCATTTCTTAGGGGCATGCATGAGTTTGCACGCTGCCTGTTGATGAAAGAGAACACTTGTTTTGCTGAAATTTGTCGGGCCAATAATACACTTCACCTGAAACCCCGTTTGAACAAATCGATGCCTAAGGCTCAGAAAAAAATGTGGCCCCAAACGAAGAGCTCTCTAACCTGAATAATTCAGCATGCATGAAAAAGGAAAAATGCACAAAATTCTGCCTCGACATTAACTTGAATTCAGAGTCCTTTTTAAGCAAATGTTTCCTGGGTTGGAAAAGTTTCCAAAAGCTGAAAGTGTAGGGGGTGGAGGAGTAGAAACTAGGTGGTCTTTGGATACCGCCATGTATGGATCAGAGCCGAAAATGAAGATTCGGGGCTTGTACCGGTAGTTTGATGCACGGTTCGGCCGCAAGCTATAGACATGTAGGATTTCTACCCGATGCATGTGTCAGTGTTAATAATTTCAAGAGTAGCTGAGGACGAAAAGGGTTTTACCCGAAGGAAATCAGAACATGATATTGAAACCTACGTCAGCAGACGCGCAAAAGTGAGTAAGTCTGCATTTTTGTTGTGCAGTCAAAAAATAGGGAAGCACGAAGGGCGCCGCTTCAAGGGTGTCGTTGGGGTCGCACTTCAAAATACGCACCCATAGAAAACACACAGACATAAATAACCGGACCCAAAAGCGGACCGAAATAGCGCCGCCTGTTGACTCTCGCAAAGAAGTTGGCCTCCGGTTTTTCACTGAAAATTCAATATTTTGGCCAGAGGTTCACTTTTTGTTTCAATTTTATCGGGCTACAGCCACGTGATTTGTTTATTCGGCTTCGAAAATACTCCCAAAATAGTAGTAAAACTATGTACTCAGCTCTGAATGTAGCAGCCCGCTTCTGTCCAAAAATAAGCCTAAGCCCGCAGGTTGGAGCTTTTTGTGAAAGAAATACGAATTGGAAGCTATCAGTCCCAAGTTAGTGATTTATAGAAATATCTCTACCATCCCGATAAAGGCGTGTCTTATTGTAAAAACCCTGACGGATCTCAAAATATTAATGAGCTCGCGCGCAGAAATCCAACGATTTGGTGGAATGCAGCCGGAAAGCATGGTTATGGTTGTGCATGCAGCACGGGCTGACAATTTTATACTTCGGATTGCGTGGGCTAGACTAGGTTTGAAGGGTATGGGTGGTTTGACGAGTGCGCCCAGTTAGCTTTGCGTGGAACCCAGTGAGGTTTGTTTTTGACGTTAGAAGCTCCAGACAAAAACTGGGGTTTTTCGTAGGTAATATTTTGAGTGCCAGGCAGACAAAGAACCTTACTGTCCGAGAAAAAATTAATGCTCTGCCTTGCTTTCCTCACTTTTCGCGGATTAAATCTACTTTAAGTGCAACCTCTGGGACAAAAGAGGCATAAGATCAAGCCATCAGATGAAGTTCAAAGATCCATTTCCCAAAACCCGAAACAGCAAATGTAACAAAAAGGAACGACCACGTATTTTTAGGTTTGTGTTTTGTCCTTTTTGTTAATATTTTGCCTTTTTCGGGGGGGGGTATGATTCACAAATTGTTAGGATTTACATTACCCCTAAGTCCCTGTCAGAATCAGCTAACTTCAGTCAGCTGATTAGTGTAGTATAGTCATTTGTGTTACATTGAAGTCGGAGGGAAAGAGGCTTGCGACACCACAGTTATAAAGACGTGGGGACTTATAAGAAAATTTCTCGTCTTAATTACTTATAAATTAATCCATAAACTTTGAATCTTAAAAGGGTCACATTCATAGGCGTACATTGCATGGCTGATCTCCAGTTTGTCTCTTTATGGATGGAGTGCATTGTGTAATGCCGTATCCAGTCAATGTTTTTAACTTCACAGGCGCTAAATTGCACTCTCCACACATTGATTTTGTTTTAAAATAAATTTCAACTTCAAGGTGTCAGTTGAGGTAACACGGAATACCTAAAAAAACAAGTCAATTGAGCTCATTAGCAAGTGCCGGTAAGAATTGTAACACCAGTGTTCCGTATTATTATGCCCCACTCCGATCTATCGCGCTGGCGCCGCGTTATGAGGCTACGTGCGATGTGCACTGCACTTCAGTTCTGTAACTTCTGCACGCTTGGAATACCAACACAGTTCATAGGCCTACCGGTTTTGCTTATATGACATTGCAGGAAAACTGTAGAAAAGCGTACAGTGCTGGCTGTCAACACGAAGAATGGGAGTGACAAAACCCAGTACGGCCGTTTCACAATAGTGCGCCATCAAGAGTTTGCAACGCGTTGGCCAATCACAATGTGCGAAATTTGTCGACCCAATGCGCGTTTGGAAATGGTCGACAAATTTTGCGCGTTATGATTGGCCAATATATTGCAAACTCTTGGTGGCGCACTATTGTGAATCGCCCGTATTGAACGCCACACTTTAGGTCTGTAACTTTTACAGTTTCAGAGTAAATTAAAGATACCGATAATCCATTTAAAGCCGATTCCTCTCCCATTTCAAAAAATTATATAGGCATACCTCTGAGAAGGGTGCTGCCTTGTAGTCTTGTACGTTAGAGGTGGGAAAAGATGGACACTCTTGGAAATTCTTCTCTACATAATAATCTTATGTCCGTTCTCACTATAAATGTCTTGTTAATGTACAGAGGTTTATTTTGCACATGAACAGATTTTGATTTGTGGATCAACAAAGATGTTGTTTTCCAACTAAAATAATTAGGCTTATGTTCGTGGAAACAAAACGACTCAGACGAGGATGAGGGAGGCTACTTATAAAGTTGAGAGAAGCTCCTTACGCCCTTCATTGCATGATGACAATCACGTTTCATTTTTGTCGAATGTATTAAGACCGTAAAGCTATATGTAAAGCACTTTTTACATGATTCAGCGCTCTAGTTTTTATATATGGTTCTATAGTTAAGACTTACTCTCTCATCTGACAGACGTAGTGTATGCTCACTATGACAGGGAAACGCGAAAGGAAAAAAGCAAAGCCAGCTTTACGGGAAGTGGCTTTATGCAAATTTAGGTTTATTCATGTTGTATATTTTCAAGGTATTTTACAGGGCTCTGTTAGTACAAAACTCTCCCTGTGCAGACACAAAGTACGTCTGTTACGAAGATACTTTTACTTTATAAATTTGTACAGAAAACCTGTTGTAAAACAACATACATGTATTTTTATCAGTGTGTCTGGGAATAACAAAACCCATTTAAAGTATACTTGCTATAATGCCGGTCAGTAGATAATAGGTTGCAAGATTCCCAAAACCGGTTTGTTACATACAGTTATTTACATATTTCAAAAAGTTGGCATTAGCATTCCCCTGAACAGGTTCTACACGTGTGGAATAAAATTTTACGTTGTCTTGATAAGCTAGATGCATGCACCGTAGAAATGAAATTATTCGGGGCACTTACGCTGGTTAAAAGCTGGTTAGCAGGCCGACATGCTGGTGCAACTCCTGGGCGGGTCGTCAAGTTTTATAGTTGTGGAGCAAGTGCAGGATTTGCGACAAATTCCGTTGCTATTTCTGTGGTGTGCCGTCGAGCGGCCCGGCACTAACTCGGTCAGCTGGATGTCGCCATTAGATGAACTTCTACAAATCCGGAAAATTGAAATTTGGAATAAAGAAAGACTTTTAGCGTTTATTTTAGTAGAGAGTGAAGTAAAGTGTTCTCTTATGAAAATATGTACTTATTTCTTATCTTCCAAATTTCGTTTCAGAATTTTTGCCCCCCCCATTATGTTGTTCGCAGCTATAGCTGCATTGCAGGTACGCCAAGCGGTCACCAGGGTGGTGTATCTCGCAGTTGAAATCAGAGGCCGAGTGAGGGCAGTGTTTCATAAGGCCAAACTGGACTGGTTCCTAGTATTATTGATACGTTTCCTGATGAATTCTTTGTCTGGATGCCCAACTAAGTTGTTCTTCATAGCATGCATCCACTGCATGTTTTGCAACGGCAGTCGGGTTATGGTTAAACTGCGTGCAGTGTACCGTTTTCAGGTAATCTCCCAAAGATCCTCTTTCATTATTTGGACCTTTACTGTCACCGAGCTGTAATTTCTGCCCACCTTAGTCTGCTTTCTGCTCCTGAAAGCCTGAAAAGTTAAATCAGATATGTCATGGTGTTAAGCGTTAATCCATGCATGCATTATGGGCAGCGGCTAAGGCTGATACCGCACGAGTGATTTTGCACAAAAGGGGATACTGTTTGTTCCTTTTTCTTCCCACAATGCCTTTCTACCATTGTGCAAAATCACCCATACAGTATGGTTACGCGAAGACTGTACTAAAGTCACTCAGACAGTGTTGAGTATGGGATTCCATATCTGCTGTCACCCGTCGTCCGTCGCACGTGCAATCCGTAGTGCAGTTCACTCTTGCCTACTGTAAAAATGTGCTGACTTGTTTTCATGAAATTCTAAAAAGAAATTTTTCAGCCAATACAGACATTCCATTTTTTCCTCTCAATTTCATCTTCAAATCCACAAATACTAGACAGCAAACTGTATTTGTCAACTGTTTACTGAATGTTGGGGGAAATTGTCACTTGGTTTAATTTTCAGAAAATATGACATGTTGTTTTTGTGGGTGTGTATGCCGTGGTGGATAGGCCAATGCGCACAGGTAATCCAACATATCAGCACTTTTCATGGCGCTAGCAAAGTAACATTACTGTTTAAAAGACTTCTGTGTACCTACGTGTAACTCAAGTCGTGTGTAATTTGGAGTACATGTATACAGCAGATTTCATTGTACGTATACTTGCCCTCTAAATAATGTTGAATCAGTTCGTCTCTTATAAAAGATAGTAAGGAATCACACATTGTAAGTAATTTATTATACATTCAGTTCAAAGTTGGGATATAGTGGAAGGACAGACAGGCATGGTGGATCGATCAAACAAGTATGTGAAAAGATCAAGGGTCAAAGTGAAAAATAGCACTGGGCAAGCGGGACAAAAAAAAAGCGACGGGCAATGGACGATGCACGATGGGTGACGCACGACAGGAGATGAATGACGGCAGATGTGGAATTTCATAGTTGAGTCTTTGACATGCATTGTCGACTCGACTTCGTCTTCGCCCTAGGCTTCATCTCTGAAACCAATCCCTGATTGTGGGCCTGAAGCGTTTCAATTAAATTAAAATACTGTAATATTTATAAATGTTTGGCTCTTCGCATCTTGCGTGATGTTCTGTGGCACTATCAGAAGTCAGGTAGGCCTAGTAAAAAAAAAACAGTTGAAGCCTGAGACAGAGCCAAAGTCAAGTATTGGGCAAATGGCCTAGGTCTTGGCATTTGTTGTTGTGTGCCTAGCGCAGCTTGGGTGTTGGCACATTCATGACAGTGGTGGTCATGCAGTCCTGGCGGTGGATCTAAGCATGCCAATGCTATCGATAATCGAGTGTTGTTAAGATGTAAGTTCCCTGTAATGTGGCATACTGAGAATTTAGCCTCAAATGCCTTGCTTCAGCAATAGGCCTAGGCCCCCTGCCTCAAAATTCCACTGCTTGCATGGTTAGTAGCCTAAAACTCATCTGTTCATATTAACCCTAACCGCCAAGCATATTAGGGTTAGGGTTAAAATCTAAAATTAACAGACCGAACTACAGAGTTGTAGTGAAATTCTAGTTTGGCCTGATTTTTCAATTTTTTTACTCGAACTGCACAATGAATGTTTTTAAAACGCAACCAAAAATAAGAAAAGAATTTTCTTTCAAACTTACATTTTTTTGTAGGCCTATATGAGTAGACATACATATATATGTCCTATCAATGATTTTGCAAATCAGAATTTATTGAGTTTTTAGACATTTTTTAACGTTAATGTGGGATTTTTTGAGATTTGTGTAAGTCTGCCACGTTAGGGAACCCTCAGCCAAATTTTTGCTTGATTTCTTGATGTCACCATTTGGTAAAATTCCAGACAAAATTTTATGACACTGAACTTATTCACAAAGATTCAACTGCACACATGAAAGTAATAGGCCTAGCACCAATATGTAACTGAATGAATTTGAAGCTTTTCAAACAAAGAGGTTTGGCAACACCGCATGAGGAAAGTTGAGGGAAACATCAGAGTGGGCCACGTTAGGGTACTGCACTGGATCAGTTATCAATCAGTCGATCATCCCACTGTGCCATCAACCAATCCAGTTTGACACATTTATTGGAAGTTTGGAATGTGCTTCGCAAATTCTCCCCCCCCACCGTGAAAATTTGTAACAGGGTGAATGGACATACGTTTATTTGTAGGCGTCTACATACATGCACATGTATCTGTTGTGGCAACATGTTTGCTATGCAAATTTCCCGTCAGTTTATCACACATGCTGGTACATTTACATGTGCAGTAATTATTCACTGATATACATCAAATACTAGACTGAAGTCAGAGGGCAGGTACCTTTTTTCATTGTCACAGTTTTTATATTGAACTGCAAAACCCTTTTTTGAAGGTTATCATCGTATTTCTGGAAGTTTTTTTCCCACACACTCATAATAGTGTTCTCTTCAAATCCCTTCCTGTAACTTGCACCTGTTCTGCCTGTAAGCTAATGTTTCCCAGTTCAAGCAAAATGCATAGCAATATCTTCTATCTCTGTGATTCTTACAGTTCTGTTTTGTCTTGTCTTTGAAGTTTGCTGCCTAGTTCTGACAAAAAAGACAAAGTTTTTTTGAATAGTGAGCAATGATAATTTTCTTTGATGACTTCTGTAATATTGCAAAGGATCAGCCGTCATAAAAGCGTTTGCCTTCATCCAAGGTGTTAGATATTTTTAAACACTGAGCGGCCAAGCCACTGTTTGTGAAATCAACTACGCCGTAAATTTGTACCATAAGGCTTATGCACTGTGTGAAGTTACACCAAGTTTCGTGAAAGGGGCTGCTGTAAGTTTGATTTCATTCCTATTTGGGGGTTTGTCTCAACAGACATGATGTCTCATAGTTCCCTGCTTCTGATGGTCCTCTGTGGCCTCCTGCTCACCCCACTGGTACTCGGTGCTGCTGGCAACCACCGCGGTGCTGAGATCGAGGACAACGAGTTTGCCGAGTTTGAGGACCTTGGGGACGAAGAGGAGGATGACGGGACGGTGGAGACAGAAGGAGACGGGGAGGAGTTCCTGGATGGGGAGGAGGCAGAGGGGCCATTTGAAGGGGACTTTGACGAGGAGGATGAAGATGGCGTCATAGAGGTGAGGAAAGATGGAAGCCTTGTCTAAATCATTGGGCTGTGGCTGGCTGCACCACATGAGTCTATGAGAAGTAGCTGTAGTCCTGTTATGTCCTGTTCAGATGTTCAGTTTCCTATGGCAGTGAGGTGAGACATCATCCCTTGATCCCACATGGTAGAGTGCACATGTAAACAAAGTGTGACATCATGACATAGGTCAGTTGCTCTGTGATGGGTGTGATCAGGCCCTAGTCCGCCTAACATGCCAGCACCCAAGACATTTGAGTTTAGCGAAACGAAATGATCAGCCAAGCAACAAATTTTCCACGACAAGCTCATGATGCTCTCCTCACTGCACCTCACTGAACAAATGACAGTCTGAGAAACTCTTTGACAGTCATACATTCACTGTATTCACTCCTGTTGTCCACATGCTCTATGTTGAATTGTATTTTATGTTACTCTGGCTTTTATTTCAGCATTCTTTAGATTGTGCGGCTGCTCTGCATGCAAACGCAATAGAGGTTGTGTTGTTACAAAGCAATGAATTCCCATTTGGACACCATGCAACTTGTACATGCAGGTTCCTACATGTACGGCTCGTGAGATTTGAAACATTCATGTTATCATTTGATCAGGATTTTTGTAAACAAATTTCTTTTTCAAGAATCAAAAATGTCAGTCCACGGTCCACTTTAAAACTGTGACTTGAATTTCAAATCGATCATGTATGTGTTTATGATCCATTCAGCATTTTACCTTGAAATTTTTCACAAAGCAAAAACATGGCGTCGTAGACACTGCAGAGTGGTAGAAAGATGCCTTGACATTCTTCAAAATCCATGTTAAGAACTTTTGAAAATTTTTTTTTGGGGGGGGGGGACAACCATATTTGTTAGGGCTATAGCCCCAATAGTCCTGAATCCTCCAATGTTAATATGATTTTGCACACACCCTACATGTAGGGAGTTAGGGTTAAACTTTTGAGAGCATGCATGAGTGTGTTGCATGTATGTTCAAACTACTGTGCTTTTGAATGTCCGTTTATGCATTTCATTCTCATATGAGCCTCAAGTGAGATTAGAACTTTGGTTTTCTGTCTACGCTTGGTAAAGGTTTTCTCTCTTTAACATGCCATTTGCAAACCGTTTTTGTGCACAGGACGAAGATGAATTTGAACACTTCCACGACACGGAGGAGTTTGAGAACTTTGAGAGAGAGAAGCCGTTCAAAGGCAAGGGCTCCTCTGACACGCCAGACCTGGAGATAGCAAAGGTAGGAACTTCGGCAAGATTTTCATGGAGCTGTGGCCAGAAGTTGTGGCTGCGGCTTGCAGTAACACAGAAGCATATTCCAGTGTCAGCCACAGCCTGACTTATCAATGCAGACTGTCACTCACCATATAAAATTGCTAAGGCAGAATCCTGTAGGAATCGGTCACAAGTTATGTTTATGGCAGGGTTGTGAGCATATGATCATTGTTAGGCAAATATTTTGAGCAACGCAATAAAATTGACCCCAACATGACCACAGACAAAACAGCCCTGATCTGTGTCCACAAAGATTAGTGTCAAGTCACAGTTTTTCCTTGTTTTTCTCTTCTTTTCCTTTTTTTGATTTGTTGGAAAAAAATGGAAATCGTTCTTTCTTGTGGTTTGCAAAACTGGGGGTGTCAGTCAAGACATCAGAGAAATTAAGCTAGTTCAAAAACTTGAGTTGAGAATTATAATTGGGACTTTAAAAACGAGGAAAACGTAACAAGCAGCTGAAAACTGTTCCTGCTTCTGAAAGCTTGCATGATTATTTATAGCTATTTATCTCCAGAAACTGTGGGAATTGTCTTATTGATTGTTCAACTGCTCATATCTGCTGTATTTTGCTAAGATTTGCTTGGTTGAGAGTTATTCCGTATTTAAGGTTGGAATTTTACATACAGACTTCTAAAAGTGCCTTTATCAATCAACAGTCTATACCCACCTTTCCATGGGGATGTTTTTATTCCATTTCTGTTCTCTGTTTTTTAATCCTGTGCAACATCAGTGGATGCTCTTCTAAAATTTATACATACAGACATGAAGGGCACTGAACGCATCCATGGAAAGGAGTGCCTTATGGTGTTCAGTTCCCCCACCCCCTCTACAGGCGACTCTCTGTTCATATTCTGACAACAGAATCTTAGAAACTTCCATGTATACCACTGCTGGCAAATGCACCAAGCAGTGTTGTATTCGAGTCCCTTCACAAGTCCAGTCACAAGTCCTTTCACAAGGCCAGTCATAAGTGACAGGGTGAACAATGACAAAAGAATGCTGTTGTCGCAGCTGATTTGAATAGCTGAGACTGTATGATGGACTTACAGGGACTTGTGCTGGACTTGAATACAACACTGGCACTGAGACTCAGCTTTGTAGCTCTGCCCAACAGCCCATTTCGTGCCGACAGAGCTTCTGTCAGCTCCTCAATGGACCTCACTAACAATGAGCACAGCAAACGCGCAATAACCCTAACCTCCTAAGCATTTTTACTGAGAACCATCCTCAATCCTCCAAAATCGTCCGATTTTCGACATGAAAAAATTGCATTCAGCCTCAATCCTTTAAAATCCTCCGACAATTCCTGTCATTATGGTGAGGCAGTGCGAAGGGCATTCTAACCCAGGTCTAACCCACGACCTTCATGCATGGCATCCTTCGCAATCAGCCATGCACTTTTGCCATTCACCCTCGATCCTCCAAAACCACCCGAAGGATTTTGGAGGATTGAGGAGGGTTAGGGTTAAAGCATTGAATTTGTCGTTGTTTAACAGCTACCGGTGCATCTGCGCAACAACTGGGACAGCTACTACATGGAGATACTGATGCTGGTGGGCATCCTGGCCTACGTCCTGAATTACATCACCGGCAAGAGCAAGAACCAGAAGCTGTCAACTGCATGGTACGTGACAGCACTACTCCCAATTTCTCATGGGCACCCTTCCCCCATCCCGACTGCCTCCCCCTAAGACAGTGGGTTGGTCACTTCCGATGTGACAACGTCTCCAAACCCCTGGACTGCCTTTACATGATACAGCATACCATCGGTTAAAATATGTTTGCCGGTATTCTATTTTCATTCAGCATATAGTGGGAATATTTTATGACGTTAATGTTTTTTTCTGAAAGGAAAGGAAATTTTGTAATACTTGTGTTGAGAATTATTCATTTGCTTCAGTACTGATACCAAGCCTTAGCTTGCCAACCACTGTAGGAAAAACTAGAACCGCTATTTAGCTGGAGAAGTTTGATTGTCCAACCGCAGTGATAATGATGAACATGTGGGCTCAAAAAAAATTATTTGTGAAGGGAGTGTATTTTTTAATTGCGCTGAAAGGTAAGGGCTCATTAGCATGTTCTTGATTGTTTTTGAACAGGTTGAATGCACATTTGGAGCTACTGGAATCCAATTTTGCATTAGTCGGTAAGTCACCCATCAACTTGTTATCACTGTGCAGTCAATGTCATATCACTATGGTGAACAATGGCCCTTGTGAGGAGCAGCTGCAGACTAGCGTCAGTTGTGCACATGCTGGTTTTATTTTGCCATTACTGGGCCTCTAGGAATGAAGGCACGCCAGCAATGTTATTAATCCTGTCCTTTCCAAATCCTTGCATGAGCCAAAGATGTCAAAAGATCAATGGTGTATGGCAAAAATTTTGGACTGATTTTGAAGGATGAATAGGTGTCACGGTCCTGGGCCAGACACTGTGTTGTTCATGCTCAGCCATGCATGTATTTAGGCCCTGATCATACTTGAAAACTATCCCCATTTCTGCAGGATATCATTCCCAACTCATTGGTCACAGTGAGCCAGTCTAGTACATGTATGTCAAAATGTTAGACCTCATGCTGTTCAAAATGACCTCAGACATGCTTGATTTTGGGCATGTGCTGTTGGAATACCAAACTGGCGCATTGCCGGGGGATTTGGAAGGAGAGAGGCAGTGGTCACCCCTCCATGGACCACTTTCAAGTAACAACAGGTTATTAGAGGTCCGAGGCTCTACCCAGTTTTTTCCGTGGAGGTCAGTCGGAGGATTGTGCAAAATCAAAGTTGTAGCCTTGCCAGAGACCCCAAAGGGAGATCGAGTCAATTGAATACTTACAGCTGCTGGTACCCGTGTTGACAGAAGTCTTCATCTTAAGCGGGAAGATGTTGTTGCCAGCTGTGAGTTTCCTCAAGCCTTATCAGGGATGCTGTATCTAAATATTGCTTAACCTTAACCCTGCAAAGTGAGCGTAATCCAGCAGGTGTAAAAGCCTGTTGTACTTTGTTGCACTGGGCAATCGACAGCAGCCTGAAAAAAGCTGCCTGTGTTGAGATAATGGGAGCTGGCTTACGGATCAGTTCTGCTGTATCATCTTGTGGTGGTAAGCAACCACAAACTACTGGGCTGTTTGGCATTGGCTGGGCAAGCCACCTCGACAAATGATGCAAGCCGATGTGTCCAGTAGGGATCTAGCCAAAAATACAGTGGAGGGCTAGGGTTTAACGAATGCAGAATTTGTTAATCCAGCGTTATACATGTTTGTATTATCCAGTGTAATTTCTTGGGCCTCTTGACAGGTGATGACGGGAGCCAGAAGGACCCCCCAGCGACCGGTCAGCTGCTCAAGGAGAGCGAGAGCCGATACTGCCTGTGGTGCTCCGGCAGAACGTGCTGCGAGGGCATGCTGGTGGAACTCAAGGTAGGACCAAAATATTTGCATTTCACACAGTATGATTTACATTGGTATGTCTAAAACCTGCTTGACATTGCATTTAACATCTGCCCCTTGGAAGCACCGTCAATTTGGAATGAGTAAAAAGTAAACAAAGGTATTTCTTGTGTCTTTTGTGAAAAAAAAAGCTCCATGCGTCTGTGTTAATATTTTTCTATGCTAAAGATATGGTGGTTCCTGCCATTTCTTTCTCTCAGAGTTGTCCCTTACACTCAACAGAAGTTCACACTTTTGTTTTTGTTCCAGCTTCTGAAAAGGCAGGACCTCGTGAGTGTGGTAGCCAAGCTGATGAAGCCAGGGTCGGATGAAATAGTAAGCACAAGTGTTGTTCTTCTCCCTGGTCTTTCCAGGAGAACTCAATGTTGTATCTGGGTCATTCCATGAGGTTGGGGCACAATTTGTGACGGTGCCCCTTGTTACATGGGTCACTTTACCACCTGTCATGACCTGTAGAGTAGGTCATTTACTCTGTAAAAATAACACACACCTCTGTATTCAGCCTTGCAAGATGTATAGATTGGAATCCACATGCAGGTAAATAGCTGTTCATTTTTACAAAACCCAGGTAACAATGAACACCGTCACATATTGTGCCCCACCCACCCTGGAATGACCCATCCATCATGGAAAGAAGCCCAACATGTCTCTTGTGTTTGGAAGTCTAAGAAATGGTGCTCCTTTTGACTTCCAGTATTGCCGTCAGTATTTTAGATGATCATTTAGTGGGACAGCACTGACAGAGCCACATTTCTTGCATAAGAGATAAAGGTTTTGGAGTATTAGCCAATCTGAGTTTGGAAGTAGAACTATATATCTCTGATGAGCTCTGAGAACATGATCGAACATGATGTATTGATGGATAGTATGTGCGTTGCACCTGTAAAGCATCTGAACCTCTTCTGGTCTGGTCTGAGGCATCACATGCGTGCCAAACATGCACACAGTCAGCACAATTACAACCCTTGACGTTTGTTTGCAAGAGAGCCACTTTGCAGCGCTGCATGTAAATACGTGGACTTTGTTTATGAGATTTTACTACAGGAATTTATCCAGGTCTGATAGGAAAGGAAGCGATTCTGTGTATGGGTAAAGAAATGTCAACTTACACAGTAATTCTTTTGTACTCTATTTAATGTCTTCCAATATTTGTTGCTTAATAGTTAATAACGGTGACAATGAACAGCGAGGACATGGACAGTTTCATTCTGTTTGCTGGGAGGAAGAAAATGGCCTCCAAGATGCAGAAGGAAATGCAAGATTTGGTAAGTTGGGAAAGCTGCGCGAGTTCCGCTCTTTTAAGACTTGAAGATTTTCATGGTGAAAAAAAACTAGAAGAGTAAAATGTTTCACTGTTCCACATCAACGCCTCACCGAGCTAATCCCTACATCGGGATCCCTCTCTAAACCATATAAGCTCCACTCCCAGTCAGAATCTTGCAGTCTCCTAAAGACAGAGTACACTGTTCGAAACGTCGAGTTATTCCGTGGTTCTCCTCAGAACCACACATAATCAAGAAAGAGATTGATACATGGTGCAACCACAATCATTTTACTCTTCTTACATAA